CCCACTTTGCAGTCATGAGTATCTGCTTGATTCCAGGAGTGTCTTGTCTATTCCAGAGCATAGGGTTTGCTCTTTCCCTTGTCTATTTTGGAAGAATTATTTTATGTCACATAGTGACAAAGCTGCAAAAGTCAATAGAGGTACGTAATGAATTGCAGTTTTGAGGGTCTTTAAGGACCCCTTAAATCTCTGCTGTCATCCTGGCCAAGACACCACAGCAGGGATGAGCCCATGGTGGTTGTGATTCTCTTACAATTTTGTGTTTCATTGTGTGATCATAATGCACTTGCCTTTGTGTTCATAGAGCTTTGAAATTTGCCACTGAGGTGCATTTCTAGCTGTGGTTTTGATCTGGTTCTGCCAAATGTGATTCTAATTGATTGCAGTGTATCTTTTCCCCTCCATCCTGTTATGTTCTTTCTTGGTTGGATACAAATGCAGACTAGTTTGTTTTCCCTTCAGTCAATGAATTAGAGACAAAAAACTGGGTGTCACCAGGTCAGTATGAAGCCAGAATATAGGTAACTGTCTGATGGTCGCTTGTTCCAATCAGAACTGTAATAATATGGTTACAGGTAATACTGTAAAAAAACCCTGTAATAATATGGTTATAGGGGCTAGTCCTTGCACAATCCACCCTTCTGGATGATATGTTAAAAACCCTGATGACAGGCGTCCTTTCAGGAAACATTCCTTGTCCTAGCATGCCTGCCAATGGCTTGTGTGGCGTCATCTCATGGTGCTATAGCAGCAACCCCTAAATGAAGGGTTTGAAGTCTGAACGCGTAAGTAGTGTTTGTGTCACTGTTGCCTACCTTAGCTGGGAGCACCATGAAGCAGCTCAGACCCCAGGAAAAAAAGTTGACCTATAATTAGCTTAATTGGCCACTGGATGTCAGTATCTTGCCACAGAAAACTGCAAGAAGCCTGGCTTTTCAGGTTGCAGATACAGTGGTTATTCATGATTTCATCCCCACACCCCAAGCAACGTCTTGTGAAATAAACAGTAACTACGTAGTATTTGAATGCCACAGAAAAAAATTAAAAATTTGTCTGTCTTAGAGACAAATTAAGATGCTGCTGAGGAGAGTAGAAATAATGAAGAAAAATCATGAGACATTACTGAGTTGATTAGAGCTGTTTCATATGTTACACTGAATTTGTTTGCTTTGACTGCTACCTCCTGCTTGAACCAAGTAAAACCTTCTTACCTGGAGCTGTTGCAACTTCAAAGCAAAGACAGCACAGTTTCTCTTGGCTACCTGCCGCTCCCCTCAAGAAAGAAAAAAAAAAACGCAGGGAGAAAAGAAGAAAACAGTAAAAATAAGGTGAGAGGGAGATGTAAGGCTCTTAAGCCCCACAGTCTCATGCGTTTTCAATCTCAGTGTGAATAAAGGTAATTTTTAAGGGTGCTTAGTGAAGCTGTTGTTTTGCAGGATTGACTTAATGGTTTCCCTTTCTGGTATCATGTGGTTGCTGGTGCAGAGAGAGCAAAAGCTGTCACTACAGCACTTCCAGACAGGTGTGGGGCACAAGGGCTAGGGCAGATCCTGCTATACATGGAATCTTAGATGCTAAGGAGAATTAGATGGGGTGTTTTAGAATGATCTCCTAAATTTAGCAGTTTAATGCTGGTAAGTGCAATTTGGGATTTAGGGTTTTTAAAATTCACTTGTTATATTGAATATTTCTTTTCACTGGAACCAACCTGAGCTCAGCTGACAAAAAAAAAAAAAAAAAAGTGAGTCTTGTACATTTTTACAGCTTAGGACTAGTGACTGCAGAAGCTGGATACCAACCAAAGTGGAAACTAACCAAATTACGTAATAGTCTGTGCCCAGCTCTGCTTTGATTGAAGTCAGCAGTAGACAAATTAGACCTGAAATTATCATCTAGGGGGAAAAAAAATATGGCAGACAGTGAGTACATTCCTTCTTATCAGCTCTCTGAAAAACATTCAGAAATAACTCTTACTGGCAGTTTTATATATGAACTAGATACTGCCTATGCTAAAAATATACATTGACTAACACTATGTTCAGCATATTGAGACTGACTTGCAATTTTCAAAATGTGATTAAACTAAAATGTGTTTATTGTTAGAACTGTAGTGGAAGACTGAACAAATCAGCTAATTAAAGATATTGGTGGTTTGGGGCTTTTGTGTTTGTGCTGTTCTTTCCTGCATATAATACCCCCACAGCTCACAGATCCCAGAGAAGCCAGACTGGAAAAGCAGATTTTTCCCATGAGCAGAAGTTATTCTAGCTTTCTCTGAGCCTGGTGTCCCTTGATTTTCGTGGTTCTAAGATCTTGACAATAACCAGAGTTTTAAGTTTAACCATTTTCCTTTGTGTCTCTTTTGTACTGTTAGCAAACAGCCTGACATCCTAACTTTCTACTTTTACTTTAGTATGTGTTACAAAATAAACAATACCAGTCCTTCATTTGTAGAGAGCATCATGGGAATGCTATGCAGCCCTCTGTTAAGGATAACAGTGGCAGCCATGGCTCTCCAATCAGTGGGAAGCTGGAAGGCATCTTCTTTAGCTGCAACACCGAGTTTAACACTGGGAAGCCACCCCAAGATTCACCTTACGGAAGATACAGGTTTGAGGTTGCAGCTGAAAAACTCTTCAACCCAAATACTAACTTGTACTTTGGAGACTTCTACTGCATGTACACAGCCTACCACTATGTCATCCTCGTGATCGCCCCCGTTGGATCCCCCGGAGACGAGTTCTGTAAGCAACGCCTTCCCCAGCTAAATATAAAAGATAATAAATTTCTGACCTGCGATGAAGAAGACGGTGTCATGGTTTACCATCATGCCCAGGATGTTATTTTGGAAGTAATTTACACTGATCCTGTGGATCTCTCCCTCGGCACAGTCGCAGAAATTACTGGTCACCAACTAATGAGCTTGTCTACTGCAAATGCAAAGAAAGATCCCAGCTGCAAGACCTGCAACATCAGTGTTGGACGTTAAAACCTCCCTCCTTAAGTAACAGCCTCCAAACCTCTGTTGCCCATGTCCATAGTCAGACGTTCTGTCAGAAGCATGCACATGCACATGCCGCTGCCACCAAAAGCAAACACCAGTCTTCAGAGTCTCCAATAGAGTTTTAGTATTTCTTCTCTCCCTCTTTC